CAGCAATCATCTGTAGTCATAAAATATTGATTACAAAAGCATCAAATAATATTTACTGCATCCTTGTATAATTTTCCCAGAGTTATAAAAATAACAGACAAGAAATTCTACAATTATGTAATAATACTTTTCATCACTGACATGGGATGGATGGTTATCATACTAAATATTGTAAACTGATTGAAGTTGAAATGGTATCATTGAATTCCAACCAAGTAATTATAATGATTGTGTTTACTGTGAAACCTAAAGCTTTTGACTTCGATCTCTGTCGAGATCATGAGTATATATTGCTAGTGAGTCCTATACTAAAATGAAATAGATGAGCACCGCTTCCCTGATTTTCAATGATTCTCCAACTGAGATCAATCTACAACGGATATAACGTATAGATTAAGATAATTTATTAGTAAACTATTTACCTTTAACATTTGTCTTTCCTTTTCCAACTATCTAACTTACTAACTTACTTACTTACGCCTGTTACTCCAATGGAGCATAGAACGCCGACCAGTATTCTCCAATCCACTCTGTCCAGAGCCTTCCTTTCCAGTTCTATCCAATTTTTGTTCATTTTTCTCAGCGTACTATGTTCTTTGATCCTCTTCTTTTCCTTTGGCCTTGAGGATTCTATGTGAGGGCTTACCTTGTGATGCAGTTGGGTTCTTTCCTCAATGTGTGTCTTATCCCCTTCCAGCGCTTCTTCCTGATTTCTCCCTCCTCTAGGATCTGGTTTGTTCTATCTAACATCATGAATATATTTCGAATAATTGTAATTTGTTTGAGTTATTACATGGTAAATTTGTTAGTTTACCATTAATTAGTCATAGTTTTTTTATGACTACACTATGTGTGTGTGTGTATTCGTGTATCAGTTTGTGCAAATCCTAATTAGGATTACAGAAGCTACACGTAAATGATAATGATGCATAACTCTTTTCTAGTTCAATCACTTTTTGTTTTACTGCACAAATTCGTTAGATACTTATTACTTTTATGATAACAAATTTATGAACTAAATTGATTTTTATTAGTGTAGGGTTTTGTGGAGATTGTAGAATTTTGATAGTTTAAATCATAAACTGTTGTTAGTTGAATATTATTGTTCGATTTCACTTTTACCTAAATATCTTAGCGTCGATATGATTAACTTCATATAGGTCATGATCTCTTATTATCATCATTAGAATCAACAGAACTATATGTAATCCATATTGAAATTACTCACTGATGAAAAAAGTATTGTTATTATTTACTAGTAGGAAGTAGTCTCTAACTATGATGAAATACTGATGTCAATGTCTCCTAATTTCGATAACAGGTTATAGTGAGAAAAATTACTTTCGAACTAGAAAAAATCAGTTGTTAGTCTAAAGGTTGGGCGCTCATGCACGAAAGTGAAGATCGTTAGTTTGAGTCTCACATGCGGGGTCGTGGATATACACTGCTGAAAAATCTTAGACCAGAGAGGAACAACTGTCTAGTGCTTTCTGGAAATATGAATCACTGGGTTGAAACTTGATAGTTAAAAAGCATTGTGTTTACTACCAAGTTGATAATTATTTAGTTCAAAGATAGTTTATCAAAAACTGATTGGGTTTAGTTGGATAATCAGTGTAAATCATTAATCAGTTATATAATTATTTCAGTTCGGTTTCTAATTCTTGAACTATCATTTAGTACCAACAGTGATATTCAACTCAATCTATACCGGACTAGATTCGGCTGGTTACAGATACTCACCAGGAACTTCAGAGTTCTTTTTAAAGTTCGTTGGTCATCTAGGTACATATAAAATGACCAATTTTCAAAAGAAAAATATTTCAACTATAAACAGTCGAATAGTTTACATAGCTAAAAGTGTTCAACTCTGATTATAAAAACAAGCAGTTTTATTAATATTACTCATTTAAAATGATGAACAAAGGTCCTATTTCGCTAAGAAGTTATATATGTTGTTTAAAGGCATAGTTCTATTCTAAACAAACGATCTACAGTAATGTTTTTTATGACATAGGCCACGAGAATGGATACACCACGTTCCATTTTCAAGGTGTCTGGAAAATGTAAACTGCGCTAATAATCCTAATCATAGAGAGAAAAGTTGATCACTTTTGATTATTGATAAACCGACAAGAACTTCAGTTGTAAAATATGTGAACCATTGAATTTTAATTCAATGATCTTAAGGAAAAATACTAGTTACGAAGCATGAAGGTTTTAGATCTAATCACTTACAGTTTTCTAAATATTCACTGCTAATGAGTTTCATAGCATGTATTCATTGTTTCCTGATTTTCGAAAGTTCTTTATGTCATGGCAAAAATTTCAACTGACCTTTAAAGTTTTAAAAACGATTCAATCTACTCATAAGTAGCTTGAAATTACTAAAGAAAAATAAAACCATTATCACCCTAAATTCATGGGGTATTTAGTCGAGTAAGGTTTCCAAGATATTTATATATATATGCACTTCCGATAACAATAAAATCTAAACTTCTGATACAGAGAGGAGGAAAATACGACAACCAGTAACATTAAAAAATATCGAATTCATCTGGTATTGTTTACTTGAAACTTTCCATTGATATTTAGCGCTACAATTGATTAGTCTCTTATTGACATATGTGAATACTATGAGGATGGCCTCGATATTATCTTAATTCACAAGCATTATAAACAAAGATGTATATTGACTAGCAGTGGAATCCAGTTTGACGCACGTTTCGTCCTATTTGAGACTTGTCAGCTAGATGTACCTGAATCTCCGAGTATATGAAGTGTCTAACTATTTAAAATGCTCATTGATAAATCCATGATAAATATATTATTTCAGTTGGAAATCAGTCGCGTTCGATTCATTCCAGTGGGGTAACTTCTCTTTGACCGTGATAAAGGTTCGACTGACGTAGACACCTGCGTTTCTATAAGACTGTATATATATATTTTTTTCTAACGAGTGGGAACTAGCTTACAACTATCAAGAATATGTTAAGTCACCCGTTGAATTGTTTTTTTGGTAATTAAAATTTAATTTACCACATGATTTTATACCTATGCAAATTTCTTTATTCTTCGTAGAGATAAAATGATGAATTAAATAGTGAAACAAGTTGATAGTATCCATTAAAAATTATATATTCTAGTTAACCTATTTCATCTCCCTCATTCTCTCTCCCTTATACACAAACTCTTTTTGTATTTCCTTTAGAGAATCTATGGAAACATTACTAGCACAACAAGCTGTAGCAGGTTCAATGGTTACTGGTATACCACCACATATATTTAGTTTACAACCATCAACAACAACACAAATAATTCATGGAAATGCAAATCATCCATGTAAACAAATGTCTAAAAAAGGCTTTTTACATGATATTGATCAATATAAATCAATAAATAATGATTCTAATTTATGTAAAATATCAACTGGATCAGTATTTACATCTAAACTAACAACAACAACAACAGGAACCACCACCACCACCACAACAACAACTAAACCATCAATATTACCAATACCAACAATATCCAATATACTTAATTCATCAATACAATATACTTCTAGATCAATAAATTCACATTATACTAATCAAGGAACTCAATTAATTACTACAATAAATGATGAACAAGATTATAAAAATCAATCATTTCAATCCATTTTAGATATAAGTAAACCAACTATTCTTTCATCATCACCATCATTATCACAATCTAATGATAATCAATTGATTGATTCAAATAAATTATCATTATTATGGAACCAAAAATTTATTGAAAATACTTTTATAGCCTATTTTAATCAAATTTTATATGAATCTAATATGAATCAATTAGATCATCAAAATATAGAATATTTTAAACCATCTATATCATCATCATCATCATCTTTATCATCGTTATCATCCTCCTCCTTCCCCTGCTCCTTACCCTCCTCATCCTCATCCTCATCCTCGTCATGTACATCATCACAACTATCATCATTATTACATAATCTTTATCCATTAATCAATAATAAATTAAATCAAGTACATTCTAAATTAAATCTTCCACAAGATACTTTTAATGTATCCACAATCAATGTAGATAATAATAATAATAATAATAATAATAATAATAATCATGGAAATGATCTATATTCAATAAATAATCCATTCATTAATCAATTAACCAATGATTCTTCACTTTTATTACAATCATATCAACAATTTTTAAAAAATGCTTTACATTTAAATGGATCATTATTTAATCCATTCAATAATGATAAGAAACAGTGTAATTTGATAAAACCAATTGACGGGGACAATTGTACTGCTGTTAATAATAATACTACTATTAATAGTAATGATAACAGTAGTAGCGGTAATAGTAATAATAGTAGTGGTAAAATTAATAGTAAAGAATTAACGTCACAATCAACACCATTGACAACTGATTGGACAAAATGGACAAGTTTCAATGTATTAAATACATTAAATCAAATATGGAAATCACAATGGAATACAATGAAATTAGATGAATCTAATCTAAATGAAAATAATCCAATCAATAAACAAGATTTAAATGAATCAATTAAACATAATCATAATCATGATTGTACTACTTATAATGATACCATGGATACTACTGATTATCAACAGATAAGTATATTAGAAAATTTTAAAAAATTTAAATTCATGAATTCTAATCATTGGATGAATAAAGATCATTCTCCTAGAAACAATCATTTATGTAATTCTAATGAGACAGAGGAGATAATTAAACCATTAACAGATTCCATAACATCTATTACATAATGGATTGAAACGTTCCTTTCTTTTGTTTCTAATTTTTATTTTTTAAGTTTTAATGTTAGTTCATTGTGACAATGAATATTCTATGTATTCATATGTATGAATTTGTATAAAACTTATCTATAATTTAGATTATTTTAAATCATACATACTACTACTATTACTACTATCTATACTACTATTGATACTACTATTACTGCTACTACTATGACTACTACTACTACTACTACTACTACTACTACTACTACTACTACTACTACTACTACTACTACTACTACTACTACTACTACTACTACTACTACTACTACTACTACTACTACTACTACTACTACTACTACTACTACTACTACTACTACTACTACTACTACTACTACTACTACTACTACTACTACTACTACTACTACTACTACTACTACTACTACTACTACTACTACTACTACTACTACTACTACTACTACTACTATGACTACTACTACTACTACTATTACTATTACTATTACTACCAATCTAATTATGACTCTGATTATCAAACATTTCACAATTGAATCAAAGTTTCAAATCGTTTAACTTTTTTTCTCTTTATATACCATTAAGACTGTATTACATAATTGAACTAGCATTTAGTTCAAATTATACTTAATATTAAATTTAAATATTTAGAAATTGTCAATATTCATCTTAAATTAATCATTTGTAATTTATCTAGTTTTTAATTCTTTATAATTGATTAGAAAGGAAACAATAATATGTATAATATACATATATACAAATTATGATTACTATTTATTATTTCAGTAGTTGAAATCATGAGTCAATTAAAGCTAGACCACCATGGGAAATCTGGGAGAACTGGATGGCCGTTTCGTCCTAGTATGGGACAATCGCGCCCCCCGTGAGACTCGAACCCAGGACCTATCGGTCTCGCGTGCGAGCGATCAACCACTAAACTACTGAGTCGGTATCTAACGGCGTTAACGTCTAACTTCAATTAATCCACGAAATGGCACCACCGTATACCGATGTTTTTAGTGACCTGATATCTCACAGCAGACCCGGTTGAACTCTACTGGTCACGGCTTCTCATTGGAACTCCATGAAGTGCCTCTTGAAGTCAGTCACTAATGAGCAGATGATTATTTTCAGAAGGGGTTTTGTGGAGATGTTAGTAATTTTAATAGTTGAAATCATGAGTCATTTGGAGCTATTATTTATGTAAATAATGAGTTATAATATGTTAGATATGAAAACTATTTCCAATCTATCCGGCACTATATGATTACTGATAGTGTTATGATAAAAAGGGAGATTTCTATAATTATCATACATAAACTTTGAATAGATACATATACGTAATACTGTAGTGAAGGAGAATAATTATGAGGACAACCGAATTATATTTAGCACAAATGTACAGAGTCACTTGATGAGATAGAAAAAAATCATACTGTAATACTTCATTTGCAAAATGTTCATTAATTGTCCCAGACTTCATTGTTCCTAAACTTCCATACCAATTGTTGTCTATTCTCATTCTTCCCTTCTTGATCTTCTCAATCTTCTACTGCCAGACATTATATTCCCGACTTGCGTTATATACTATTTATGTCAATATAAATAACACACATCACAATACTATTTCGTTGAACTATGATATTAATTAATAATTGACAATAAAGTCAAATAATAGTGCACTTAGTTTCGTTTAAATAATTCTCAGAATGAGAATTTGTGGAGATTGTAGTAATTTTAATAATTAAATTTATGAGTCGATCTAAACTAGACCACCAGTGAAAACCTGGTAGCAATGGACAGCCGTTTCGTCCTAGTATGGGACTCCTCAGGAATGTGGGATCGTATATGTGTATTTCTGAGGAGTCCTATACTTGGAAGTAACAATTATCTAATTCTTCCAAGTTTTCAATGATGATCTATCTTAGATGGACTTATGAATTCAACTATTAAGTAATTCTGTTAAATGTAATATAGAAGAAAGTAGATTTCCTTGTAAAATTGAAAAAAAAACTAATCCAATCTCCTTACATTACAAATAATTACTTACTTTGTTTATTCTGGTTGCAAGGTTGTTTTCTACGGGATGGAGTTGTTGATCTTACATCCAACTCTCCTCCTTTATCCGAACTTGAAACCAGCAGTAGCCTTTAAAAAATCTATAGACAGAGTTACACAAATAATGGTTTGCATGTAAAATAACAAATAAACATATAATGAACATACGTTATGTTTCAAACCCTACACTTGAATATTTAGTTTTTGTAAAGCGTTTATGTGTTATTCAACCAAATGAATCAGAAATTGTAGATCATTATTTCTAATTTCAATGATCTTTTCATAGATCTCTAACATTATTCAATATCAATGAGTAATCGGTTATAACTTAGTTCAATTTAGTTGTCAGGTAATTTATACAAAATATGAAAGAAATTTTCCAAGATATGATATGTATCCATGAATTTATAACCCATCTGTCTTTTCATATTTTGTTTATAGGATGCGTTAAGTATTTTCGGTTATTTTTCTGTTCAATTCAATTGCTCTTTCATTCAAGAAGTTGGAATGGATTATTATTAATGACATTTTCATAGAGAATATTTATATAGACAGCTTCAGATGATTGACATGAAATCCCCACTGAAAATCCTGTCGTTATTTACAACATTCACCTACTAAATTAACGGAAAGTGTTGAATATTAAAAAAACAAGGATGCTTAACCTCACCTCACTCATCATAAAAGAAATAATGTTTCTTGTCATTAAATGAATCCATTCAGTATTTATATTGTTTTAATGCACCATTTAAAGGTTACATTCTGATATCAGTTATTTGTGATATGAATATTAATGATGAATCAGTATGTGACCTTTTTTTTAAAACAGCAATTAGTGTCATATAACTTGCTTTCACTTCTATTGATTTCGGTTCAATCCCAGTGTTGCTTTTGATCATATTTAGTTCAGAATAAATGTAAACCCATAAACTCACTATTTCAATAGATTCTTAACGGAAAAAACAAACAGTTCATAAAGGAAAAGATGAAGTAAAACTCAAGAACTTTATACTGAATATAAAGTTTTAGGTGTAGTGTAGTGTTCAATTTGGATTATTTATAATGACCTATTTAAATTAAATTTACATCGGTTTGGTGGTAAACATTAATTTTTAGTGAAAACTGTATTCATTCTAATAAAAAACCATCAAACTGTCAACATGAAATAGGTAAGGAACTTTGTACAGATTGACAGCGATTGATATAGTAAGTAGATCCAAAGATCAAGTCTTATATTGTGAAGGAAAGGTGCTGGGGGGGATCCTATGTATTCTTCAAAAATTCCAGAGGTGCACTAAAATACTGAAAGTATTTTATCCAACCAGCGTTGAATAGAAGTTTATCAGAAACATTTAGATAGTAAGGAGTCATGTTGTCACATTTCTCATTGAATGACTACCTATCCTGATACTATGTTTAATGTGGTTCCAGAAAATTCCAGAAGCCAATAATCATTTGATATACTGTAAACACCGACTTTCTGTACATAAATTAACTTTGGAGTAAAACGTTCATTTCACATTACACGCCTTTTCTCTCGTGTTCAAGTTGTTCAGTGAATTTAGCCTAGGGTTATTAGGTAAATGACTTAAGCGTTCAGTTAAAAGACTTATCAAGATTAGATCAAAAGGTCTAAATCTTTGATTCATTCATTTAGAGGGAGAGAGAGACAGGCATAATGATCTTAAAAAGAAACAACAATTTTAACTGGGCTACTATACTATCAAGCTAAATAGGTTTCAGTGTAATTTTGGTTCTTGTGTGTTTATTTGAATTCATTGTCATATGAACGAAAGATACAACATTAGTTACACTTTAGTATACTAGTATACCAGTTCCATTGTACGGAGCTGAAACTTGGAGAACTACACCAATCACCATCAAGAAGGTACAAGTATTTATAAGTGGTTGTCTACGCAAGATACTCAACACCCATTGGCCGGATACCATCAGCAACAGCCTTCTGTGGAAGAGAACAAACCAGCTTCCAGCTGAAGAAGAAATTAGGAAAAGACAATAGAAATAGATGGGACATACATTACGCAAATCATCAAACTGCATCACGAGGTAAGCCCTAACTCGGAATCCTGAAGGGAAGTGGAAAAGAGGAAGGCCAAATAACACATTACGTCGGGAAATAGAAGTAGATATGAAAAGGATGAATAACAACTGGAAAGAGCTGGAAAGGACTGCCCAGGACAGGGTTGGATGGAGAATGCTGGTGAGCAGCTTATGCTCCTTCACGAGGAGTAACGTGCGTAAGTGAGTAAGTATACCACATAAAAATCTGATAAAGCAAAGAGTGCTGACGGAAACCCTGCCCTTATTTTGTTATTGCAGTCAGAAATAAATGAAACTAATATGTATAAATGCACTCGTTTACACAGTGATTTTACTCATCCTGGACGATTCGTTCACAATAGGGGAAATACATAGAATAGTTACAAAAATTCAAACTACAAATGATACTGAACTAATTTTACACTGAATTAATGCAGATGATATTACCTTGAATAAACATCATACTTGAGAAAATCAACTCATATTCACAAACTAAACATTTGCATCCAAACGAAGTTGGTACAATCACTCACACTACCTTAGTCATCGGTATAGGGGAGTTTGTAGCAGGACTTTGATAAACTATTTTCGTATCTCTTCAATTTTTTTGTATTTGACTTATTCTCGACATTCGTCTCTTGATTCTTACATAATTACTGTACTACTGACCATTCATCAAAATATTTTGTTAGTTTCTTCTCCTCTTTATATATTATGCAAAGTAGCAACTACTTGACTTTCGAATAATTACTGTGATTATGAATTTATATTCCATATCTGATTATATAATTATTACGTAACGTAACTACTCGATAAGTATTATTTTATTGGTATCAGAAGGGGTTTTGTGGACATTGTAGTAATTTCAATAGTCGAGATCATGAGCCAATTGAAGCTAGACCGCCATGAAAAACCTGGAAGCACTGGACGGCCGTTTCGTCCTATTGTGGGACTCCTCAGCAGTGCGCATCCACGATCCCGCCTCGCAAGACTCGAACCCAGGACCTATTAGTCTCGCGCGCCAGCGCTTAACCACTAAACTACTGAGTCGGTATCCAATGGCGTTAATGTCTAACTTCAACTAATCCACTAAATTGAGCGACACATCCACCATTGTCATCAGTGAGTTACTATTTCACAACAGACCTGGTTGAACTCCACTGATCACTGCTTCCCACTAGAACTCCAAGATATATATCTTGAAGCCAGTCACTTTGATAATATGTTGATTAGTATCAGAGAGGGTTTTATGGAGTCCCACAATAGGACGAAATGGCCCTCCAGTGCTTCCAGATTTTCCATGGTGGTCTAGCTTCAATCGACTCATGATTTCAACTATTGAAAAGAAATTTCTTTGCTCATTTCACTCCGTCCTTATTTACCAAATGTCAAAATGGGAATTTTCACTTTATTGAAAATCAGTATTATACCGAACGAAATATCACACTAAAGAAATAACCAGATATTACACTGAATAATTATCATATTGAATTAGAAAAAAGATATGGAAGTAACGTTGAATAAAAGTTCACAATGAGTTAAAAACATAATTTTACCATTCTATCCATGTCGGGTAGAGACAGGTATCTACCTCAGTACAATGGAAGATGGTCGCGCAATTTCGTGGGTTGGTTGATGTTAGACCCTATCACTATTAGATGTTGGCTCAGTGGCCCAGTAGGTTAGGCGTGCACGCGCAAGACCGAAGGCCCTGGGTTCGAATCTCGCGAGGCGGGGTCGTGGATGCGCACTGCTGAGGAGTCCCATAATAGGACGAAATGGCCGTCCAGTGCTTCCAGGTTTCCAATGGTGGTCTAACATCAATCGGTTCATGATCTTAATCAAAAACTTTATTCTGTGTTTTCTTCATATGTCGTTGGGTTTTGAATTTTACTATTAGGCACAAACCAGTTAAGGCAACAATGTCGATATTAAGTGACAAGTACATCGTGTTTCAATGCATTCTAGCTTTACTTACTGTTCTTAAATAAGAAAACTTCATTTTAAAAAAGGAATCTTCAGTATTTAGTAAGTTTGATCAAACATACTTACAGGGATAATGTTTTATGGAATGATCTAATGAAAAAAAATCGAGATTGACAAACAAAAATATTATTTTTTTCTATTTCATACTGACAGCTGGATAGTTTGAAGTTGTTTTTATCATTCGTCTTCTAAGCTGCTTAGTTACCATTCTGTTGGAGCAGTTGATTGATTGCGGTGTATTTATATTGGTCAGCATAACCTCATGAAGATAACAGTTGTGAACGAGTGATACATAATTTTTTTCATGGAAGCTTGTCTTTAGTAATAGTTTTATTTATTTATTTTATCACTCACGGAATGACCGTATATAGAACTCGATTGTAAACCGGAAAGTACTGGCCGGGTGTTTTGTTCTAGCATGGGACTCCTCAATCGTACGCATCCACGATCTTACCCACGAAAATCGAGCCCCGGACCATTGGTTTCTTGCGAGAACGCTTAACCTCCAAATCACTGAGCCGTCATCCGAGTGTACGTTGTCGTGATATCTCAAAATAGGAGGAAACAGAAGTTCAACGCTCTTAGGTTTTCATTGGTAGTATAGCTAACATCAGTCTGTGAATTAAATTTCTACAAACCCCTCATACCAAATAATATTGTATTATTCTAGTAGGATACTACAGCTTAAGTATAGTGGTTTCATTTGTGATGTGTTCTTTAAACTATATAATTTAATTACAAAACGTTCCCCGTCGTTTTACACAGAGTCATCATTTATCACTTCAAATTATTACATACTCAATAATAAATTTAACAATTTCGTTAATCAGTTTTTGATTTGGTAGGCTGTTTCAACATTTAATCATGATACTTGAGATAAACTTTCAAGAAATAACTAGCATACTAACTATTTATAAATAGTATAAAACTTCATGTCAAAAAAGGCTCCAAAATCGATTGACCCAATATATATATAATAGTAATAGTCAAAATATAAAGAAATAAAACCAGTTCAAATTTTACTCTTTTCAAGATGAACATATTGAATGAATTAAACTTAAACTGATGCCCAAAAACATGGTTACATAACAAGAGAATCATGTATAGATCATTTATATATAATAATAATAATAATAATAAACTACTGTGATTTTATTGTGCTTTTATGTTTTGTTGTTATATTTTTTACAGACTACTGGAGAAAATATTAATTGTGTTCAATCAGCACTTTGTTCCGATGGAATAACTTTGGATTCAAATGAAAACTTAAGACAAAAACAACATCAACCACATAGTCGACATGAATCTCCAACTATACAAACACATACTGGCTATTTATCTTCTTCAATATCACCACCATCATCATCATCATCTACCTTGTGTTGTAAATCATCTCCTAACAAAGTTCAACAATCTCAAGTACCACTTTGTGTAACTGTTCAATCTCCTTATCGTAAAAAACATGAATATTCTTCATTTACGTATGATGTATACAATGACACAACACACTGAATTATATGAATGTGATCAGCATTTAAACATATTTAAGCTGAATGAAACTATTTTTTCTATGACAGAGTATAAGGTCATCTTTACAAGATATTTTTCTTTCACACATGTAGGTTGATTATTCCTTTATTTTTCTTTTCTTTCAAAGAAACGAACAAACAAACAAGTAAACAACCACCATTAGAATAATTGATATTTTGTATGGAGATTATAGATAATCAAACATGGTTATTCTTTTCTTTTCTTCTCTCCTTTCTTTCCTTCTTTCTTTTTTTTAAAACCCCTAAAAGTAAATTCATTTGTTCAATTGTTCAATGATTTATTCTGCGTTTGTTTTTCTTTTCAACATGATAATATTTTGAAACTTGTATCTAGATTAGTTTATTTTTTAATTTTTAAAAATTTATTTATTCGATTTCAACAATATTGAGTCTATAAATGTTCAATTATTCATGAAAAAATTAAATGATTAATATTGACAGTTTGAACTAGTGGTAACTAAGTGTTTACATGTTTGTTTTCTTTTTTTTGTTTTCTTTTTCTTTTTTTTTCATTTCCTAGAGAAAAAATCATTGATCAGTTCTTTTTTCCCCCAACATTTTATAAGTTAAAATCGAATAGTTATTATAAAGAAAGAATAAAAAAAAGCATTAAAGAACAGGATGAGACTATAATTTATGAACGAACTAATCACGTATTTGATAAGAGTGTAAGATCCAAACTAAGGTTTAGTCTGAAGGATAGCTGTCTAGGTGGGTTAGATATGGGCCCTTGCCCGGTTGAAACCAAAACAAGGTAATTGGGTAAAATCAGGGTTCTATAATTCATCATAAATTTAAATGTACATCTTTACCTAAACAAATATGACCACCCAACTGTCCAACTAATAATTGTTCAATTAATCAAATCTAAATTACAATAAATAAGGAAGTTGATAAAGGATGGGAGAAAATTACCAATCACAACAAATAAATGTTGTTCTATCCTGTCTGGATAGACCACTCACAGATTCGTTCAAAAGGTAATATTTAGTTGCTTTATAACACAGAGTGTTTCCAATTTTGGAAGAGTGCCTCAATTCACAATCAAAAATGCACGATTCCAGTCGATACAAACAACACAATCAAAGGAAGAAACAAACCGATATGACTGCCGCCAAGACTAAGTATCAAGTGAAACAACATAAATGCAGTTCAGGAAGAAACGTGGAAACTTAGTGAAGGCGTAAGAAAAATAAAAACTATAATAAAATACAAATATTAACAACTCAAATAGAATCAAAAAGACAAACAATGTACAACTAAAGGAATCAATAGGAACAAACTGCAAGTGTATACATGGAGGGATTTTCACACACACAAAACATTCAAAATGGATCTTACAAAGAGGTCTCGGATTTTGGCCTGAAATTCACTCATCTATTTGGTTAAGTAGAGTTTTGGCATTATAGCTGATGTCAGTTCGTGATGAAAACCTTAAATCTAATTTATGACCTTAATCACCAATTGTAAATCATAATTCTAATTCCTCATACAGGTTTATAGCCCTCATTTGGTTCTAGTTATTAGATGGACACTCAAGGTCAGTTTGGTGTCGCTCAAAGGTCGTCCATAAATCATAGTCTCATCGAGAATAGTAAGTTGCAGTAGAAACTAGAAGTGTTTTCAATTACTATGGATAGTTGAAGAATTATTCAAATCAAAGGAGCATTAATACAGTTGTTACACAGTAATCTGAAGTCATTTGACAGTGTGAATCTATAACTTTACATGAGAATGAACCGAAGATTTTTCAATCCAACAGTAATCATAGCACCTTTTAAATTAATAGTTCTACATTTTATTCCCAATCTTTTCAATTTCAGCAAATTTATGTTGTAAGATGAAAGTCTTGAATTTAATTTTGCTGAAGGTCGTTGATGTACATTTCATAGGAACCATAAACCTAAATAGAAACTTTTATCTAAAGTTTTTCAGTTTATAATGATTCTTTATGTGATTGAGATCACATCTGGATACATAGAAAATCAGGAATATTTCAATGCAGTTAAAAGTAACCTTAGATTATTAGGGCACGTTGGTTACTTTGAATTGACCAACTGTTACTATAGTTATAGAATTTGGTAATTGATTTGATGGAGTAATCATTAAGCCTGATATTTTGGTGTTACATTGATGAAAGAGTGCATTATTCATAGTTCACATATAATAGCTTACCCCATTAAACAGTTGTTTCCTGTTTTAGTATCAGTTCATTTAGAAAGATTACGTTCAGAACTTGATCTCATAAGTAGTTATTACTGAATCCTAATTTATCATTATATATAATCAATCAATCAATATATTTCATAGTTTCATCTAATAATATTGGAATACAATTTCGGACACGTATATTATGTACATCTATATGAGTATTAGGTATACGGGGAATTGGTATTTAGCCAAAATCAATGAATAAAAAGTGACTCAATTTTTAGAATAACTATACAAAAATAAGTAAGTAGATGGATACATGCATTATTATGAATACATTTAATAAAACGATCAAGATTACAAGTGAGTAATTAACAAAACCCGATAGTAACTCATTGAAGACAATGGTGGAAGTGTCGCTCAATTTCGTGAATTAGTTGCAGTTAGATATTAACACCGCTGGATGCAGGCTCAGCGGTCTAGAGGTTAAGTGTTCGCGCGCGAGACTGATAGGTCCCGGGTTTGAATTTCGCGAGGCAGGATCGTGGATGTGCATTGCTGAGGACCGTCCACTTCTTCCAGGTTTTCAACGATGGTCTAGATACATTGTAATTATATTTACAATTACTAATGGAAGAATTTTCAGTAAAATATTCTGGACTGATATTTTTGAGTTCTGTAAAACTTTATTTCTGGAGGATTTTCATGGTGGTAATAAATGACAATCGCTGGTACAAAAAACATTGACCGACCAACTTTCGTGTTTGTCAACACTCGGTCATTGTCAGCTTGACTAGTAGAATATGATTATCAATAAGCACTAGATAACATGAACATTGCTTACTGTGTAGTGAACTGAACACGGGTGGGTACAACTGAGTTATGCTTAGCACGAAATTACAGTTACTTGATAAAATAGAAAAATCATACTCTAATACTTCATTTGCAAAATGTTCAATAATTGTCTCGAACTTCGTTGTTTTTGCATTTCCATACTAATTGCTTTCTATTCTTGCTCTTCCTTTCTTGATCTTCCCCATCTTCTGCTGCCAGACATTACATTCCTGACTCGCGTCATATACTATTTATATCAATATAAGTAGCATGCACCACAATTGCACAATAAGTAATTACTTTATAAACACTTCAGTTCGAAAGAGGTTAGATATGGCTAAAATTAATTAGTGATATCGTGTCTGACTATAATACTACATAAACTCAATATGGAGCATCAGTTCTTTTGAAATCTAGGTCTAATACAACCTACCGATCATCTAGTCATATTACTTACTTACTTACGCCTGTTACTCCTTATGTAAGAGCATAGACCTCCCACCGGCATTCTTCATCCAATTCTGTCCTAGGCAATCCTTTCCAGTTCTTTCCAGTTGCTATTCACCATATTCATACCTGCTTCCGATTCCAGATGCAGTGCGTTCTTTGGCCTTCCTCTTTTCCGTTTCCTTTCAAGATTCCAAGTTAGCGCTTGCCTCATGATGCAGCTTGATGATTTCCGTAATGTGTGTCTTGTCCTCCCTCTCTCTCTCTCTCCCTATATATATATATATTAAAATAATTGGATGAGTAGTGTGAATGTATATCTTGCAGGAATATCATACGAAGTATTGGTTAGTAGACGCTTATAGTGTTGTATTTTGATATTTTCATATGTCTGATCTTTCTTTTGACTTAGTAATCTTTACCATACCTTTTAATATTACAAATTTATCACGAAATGATTTTTTCCCTATTATTTCAGTTTTGTGTCATTTATATATAAGTTACGTGCACATTGTTATTCCCTAATTGTGTTGCTATGTTCTTAGATAATTCATAGTTATCATAATTGAATAAAACACAAACGAGAATTAATCCACCTTCTATTTTCGTCTTTTGATTGAATATTATGTTAGAAGATTGAACACCAGTAGGCGTCTAGGACTTGCTTGATGTTTATTAGTCCGTGTGTTAATTGGTAAATATAGTCACTTGTCACACAGGCAACATCATTAGGCTAGAGAAGGCGATTATACAAATGCCCTCGAGCAATTAAACTCTAATGATACGGACTCTAATAAAATTTAACCATCTATCTATTCCCCCCTGTTATATCTCATAAGTAACGGCAGTTTAGGAAAACAATGAACTAGTATTTGAATAGCGTGTGTGTTACCCACTTTTCTAATTGTGTAATTAACAGGTTTGTTTCTGATTTTTTAAAGTCAATAACTGTAAATGCTAGCTACATGTACTAACGCATAACCATAAAATAATTCCAAATTACTACAATGCTGAATACTGGAAAATTCATTCGGAAACAGTGTAATTTCCGTATTGATGAGTAGTAGCTAGCAGTGGAATCCAGGACACGTGTTTCGTCCTATTTAGGACTCGTCAGCTGGATGTACCTGCATCTGAGTTAACGTTCACTCTGAGACTCGGACCTATCACTGTTCGCTTCAAACTCCATCACGTTATCCACTCAGCTACTGAGTTCTGATAACAATTATCCATCTTTGTTTATAATGCTTGCAAATTAAGGCAATATCGAGGCGATACGCACAGAATGCACATATACCAATAAGAGATTGATCAATTTTAGTGCTAAATATCAATGGGAAGATTCAAGTAAACAACACCAAGTGAATTTAAGTGTAATTTTTGGTCTATTTTCCTTTTAATGCATCATTTAACGAAACAAGACATGTATATATTGACATTTAAGCTCCTTACATATAAAGGAAGAAAAAAATACAGGGTTATATAAGCTGAGTTTTGCAGAAATCTTTCATGATTGAACACTGACGAAAAT